CTCCTGGCCTTACTACTAGTAGCAAGAAGCTATTAGGAACAAGTGCACCGCTTCTAGTAACAAAGAAGCTGAGGACACGGACCTGACGAATTGCACCTCGAGTTGGGTCGGCATGCAATGGCACCAGGCCCAAGAGGTCCGCTGCGTCACCATCGCAGCTCGGCCGAGCGAGCAAAGCGTTGCAGCTGTCGCACTACTCATTTGAAACCTACTAGAGATGGCCTCCAACCTAAGAGCGATGGCCTCCAACTTAGAAGCAACGTCTTTGTCTCTGTTTGGGGCTGGTGTCATTCCTTTCTCAAAAAGGGAACCTCCAACCCAGCTGACGGCTGAGAGTGGACTTTCAGATCATTGGATTCCGGTTTCGGAAAAACTTCTATCATGCAACATCTTGGATGAACGGTGGAGGCCACCGCTACCAGTAGCAAATAGCTTCTAGTAGCAAAGAATCATAAAGAATCCATTATTGCATTGAACTGCTTCATGAATTGACATTCTGGTGAACCTCAGAGCTGGTGAGGTCCAGTCACGCTGGGAGTCGGCCCGCTGCTGCGACGCCGCTGACGCGCTGGAGTTGCAGCGCTGGAATGGCTTTCGCTGGGTCGAGGCCTCGTGGTTCCGGCGGCCGCCCATTCCGGCCGTGAAGACGCCGTACAACTTCCGCCCCTTGGAGCGAGGAGACAGAGGAGAGCTTAGTGACCGGGTAGTTGGTTAGTCTTGTTCCGTTCGTAGCGAACATTGCTCCTAGTAGAACAGCCAGGAGCCCCGTTCGTAGCGTCCGATCGCTCCTAGTAGCGATGCTAGGAGCCCCTAGTAGCTTCTTGTTACTACTAGTAAGGCACTTGTTACTAGAAGCGATGCACTTGTTCCTAGTAGCTTCTTGTTACTAGTTTGGTTTTGCATGTTTCTCCTGGTGACGTGGAGAGGTGGCGCAAACGAGGAGAGATGGTGGACTTGGAAGTCAGACAAACTGCGGAGATGGGTTGGGCGAAAACTTGGAAGTGGTGAACCGGTTGTAGAGAAGCGGTGTGGCTTGAGGGAGATGGTTTAGGAAACTGTTTTGCGAAGGTAGAGTGCAGAGAAGCTTGTGGGACGAATCATGGAACTGCGTGTTTGGATGACCAGAGTTGCTTCTTTGTTTCACCATCTCCATCCAATCAGCGAGAACTTGTGCCAGTGGCGTTGCAAAGGCATGTGTGGTGACTAGGAGATTGTCACCATGAACCCCAGCACCCACCTTGAAAACTTGCGATTCGGTTGGAGGCCATTGCTATTAGGTTCCTGTTGCTATTAGGTACCTTGAAAGCCCCGTCCTCCCAAAAAGGCCGTTTGCATCGCGGCATCGCTGCGAGCCGGAAGTTCAAGAGACGAGCCAATGGCCTTTCCGGTCGCCGAGGCGAGCCGATCCACCTCGGCGCAGAGTTCCGGAACATGGGCATTTGCCCCTCGCGCACCAGCGAGAAGAGGCCGCGGCCACGGGCGTCGGGCGTGCGGGGTAAGAATTGAAAGGAGAAAGAGTTGTTGTGACTTTTTTCGGATCTCAGGAAAAAGAGACAAAAGGTCAAATTCTTACTACTAGGAACAAGAAGCTACTAGGGGCTCCTGGCCTTACACGCTACTAGCATCGCTACTGGGAGCATTCTTACTACTAGGAACAAGAGACCTGGGCCTGTTGACCTCAACTCGATGTTGCGATGCCTTCGAAGCCACGGTAGACCCAAGTCAAGATCTCTTTGTCATCGCTCCAACGATGAAAGACCGCCACCAGCAGCACTGTCCTCCAAAACGCCGTAGAGACGTTTTTGTGTTTCGATGGCCAAGTGTCACTCACGTAGAGATGCCAAGTCTCTATGACAAACAGACATGGATGTCATTTGAGTCTTGCATTTGGACTTGAGGGATTGGAAGCGTTTAAGGGTGGAGGCCATCGCTAGTAGGGTGGAGGCCATTCCTATTAGGTTCCTTTTCCAGGTGTCGTTGTATTCAAGTTGTATTCAACACAGAACCTGCAGTCATCATTGAATCAACTACTCGGTCACTACATGTCACTCCTCTGAAATGTGTCGCTCAAGCCCTGAAAGGAAGAAACTCCGCTTCAAAACCCGATGGTCTTTGTGGTTCATCTTGAGCTTCTCTTCTCTTTTTGGCCAAGGTCTTGGCTCTTTAAATGAAGCGCGAGCTCTATGATTTCTTATCACATTCTCAGTCTTCACGGGATTAGTTCTTAGGCGAATTCTTCCCCCTGGCCGGCGCCGAGCAAAACCGTGGCCGCGGAGGATGTCGCAGGAGACCTTGGAGGAAAAACGCTCCCGGCGCGACAGCGAGAAGTGCATCGTGCAACTCACCGGCGCCGTGACGCTGCTGGCGGAGCCGCAGTGCATCGCGCATCAAAGGTGCGGAGCGGACTGCGATGGCCTTTGCTCCTAGTAGCGATGCCCTTGTTACAAGTAGCGTCCTTGTTCCTAGTAGTAAGGCCAGGAGCCCCTAGTAGCGTCCTTGCTCCTAGTAGCGATGCCAGGAGCCCCTAGTAGCTTCTTGTTACTAGTAGTAAGGCCAGGAGCTACTAGTAGCTTCTTGCTCCTAGTAGCGATGCCCTTTGCTCCTACTAGCGATGTGCCGGTGCAGGTGTCGCGCATAGTTTTCCAGTTGGGAAGCAAATCTATTTTTTCTTCCGTTGGAGTTATCTCTGACTGTTACCAATGACAGTCCAGTGCTGCCGTGTGGCTTGGAACCTTCGCCGCCAATACGAGTAGATGGAGCATGGTTTGCTGGTGAGGTGGTGCAAGAGGCCTCTTCAGCCCTCAAGAGTTGTCTCCCAAATAGATCCAAACGTGAACTACAAGAGAGAAGCAATGGCCTCCAACATGAACCTAGGAGCGACGCTACGATCGGGGCTCCTGTCTGGTACATAGGACCTCTTCCCCCACCGCCCCCGGCAGGTGTACGACGACGTTCGGCTCCTCTGGAACCTGCTGCCCCATCGGAGATCTGGTCGAGAGCGAAAACCGCTGCTGCTGCGGCTTCCTGGGCTCCGAGGCCATCTTCGCCGACGAGCGCCTCGGGCGGAAGGACAAAGACATCCGATTGACGTGGTTTCGTCTTTGTCTCTTTTGCCCGTTCCCCCCTGGACTACTAGTAAGCTACTGGGTACAGGACGCTCCTACATATGGACACAGGATAGCTCACGCTTCTTCAAGGAAGCACTCGCACTAATGATTTGGTTCATAGATTTTGTATAGAGGGAACTTGGCTTCAACAGCAAGCTTAGTTTAAGGTCAGAGTCTATTGAGAAATGGAGATCATGGGAGGATAAGACATACTCAGCAACACCTTTTCTTTGCACTGTTTCTGTTTCTGCTTTCGGCTTGGTAACCCATCGTAACCCTCGGATCTGTTTGTGGGTGACACCTCACACCTCCAAGAGCCGGGTAACTGATGCGAACACCACTCTGAGAGAGGCCGCACTGAGGATCTCTTACACCGACACGAGGGACAAGTTGAGCTTCGAATTCTCGGCGATTTGGATGTCCAACGTGTTACCCTGGATCGGCCTCACCATCACCATTGCTTTCTACTTGACAGCCATGCTCATGCCGCCGGACATGGAGCGCCGCGCCAAGGCAAGCTGCACGTACTCGTGCCGTACTCGTTGGACAGTGTGTAGCGTTTTTGCCTCCACATAGTGCATATATGTATGTGACTGTATGTGTTTTTCTCCAAGTGCGCTACTAGGGGCTCCTGGCCTTACTACTAGGAACAAGAAGCTATTGGCTTATTGTTTCTACTAGCTTCTTGTTAGGATAAAGTCGAGTTCCGCAACTGCGCAGGATTCCGCAACTAGGATTCCGCAACTGTTTGGTCGGATTCCGCAACTGGGATTCCGCAACTGAGATTCCGAAACTAGGATTCCGCAACTAGGATTCCGCAACTAGAATTCCGCAACTAGGATTCCGCAACTAGGATTCCGAAACTAGGATTCCGCAACTGTCAAGATTCCGCAACTAGGATTCTGCAACTGGGATTCCGCAACTGGCGTTCCGCAACTAGGATTCCGCAACATTGTGGACCCCCTCACTAGAAAACGCAACTTTGTGAATGATGAGGGATGTCAAGATCACACGATGGGGACAAGGGGGGGTTGGGGGGTGGGGGGGTTGGGTGGGGGGCTAATGACGTTGGTTTGGATGTGCTTCAGTTTAAAGATTTCCACTGATGTCACTTTTTGTCATGACACCTTTTTCACGATCGCAGAGCGCTCTTGAGCTGGTTCAAAAGTCCGTCCTACCGACTTTGGTAGCGGAGCCCCGGCCGTCCGGGGCTCCTGCTTTCGCCATTGGCCGCCTGGCGCCTTCGGCGCCGCCCGGCGCGATCCCGGGCCCGCTGCGCTGCCCGCGCTGCTTCGCTCTCGTCGCCGCCACGACGACGCTTCTTTTTTGCTGTCTCACAAATTTGGCCATTTTGGTCCTATGCATTTGTTCTTCGGCTCCGAGGGCACCTGTGAAAGCAGCCAATTTTGCGCCCGTGAAAGCCCCCGAGTACCTGGTTGGGCTCCGAACCTTCCCGACTACAGCCTGAAGTCTTATTTCGACAAACTCCGCCTCTGGTATAGACTCTACCAAGGCCCTGACGAACAAGTAGGTCCTCTACTTGCAGGACGTCTTCAAGGACGAGCCCAAAAGATTGCCATGGGTCTCAAACTGGTTCGCCCTGACGGAACCTACGATGTGGGAGACAGTGCTCTTGTTCGGCTGTCCACGGACGAGGTTCGAGACCCCATGGACCCGAATGTCATCTTGCAGCACGCAATCCCAAGTGGAGTTCAAGCTCTCGCGAACGCCCTCCGTGAGACCTTCGGTCAGTCAGACCAGGAGTTGGCTACCCACAGTTTGGAGCAATTCTTCCTCTTCAAACGGGGTAAACTTTCGATGCACGAATATGCATCAGAATGGGAGCTTCGCTATGAGTCTGCTCAGCGGCACTCAGGCTTGGAGATCAACGACGTCGCCAAGAGCTTCCTATTTTTCCAAAGTTCTGGATTGCCTAACAAGTTCATTGAGGATGTCAAGATCCAGATCCAAGGCGACATGTCTCGTTTTGAGGAAGCTAAGCGCCTGACTTTGCGCCTGAGCAACCGGAGTGACCAGCATGCTCTGTCCCAGGACCTGTACACCGATCAGGCCGCCGAGTTCTTCTGCTCTACATCCTCGTCATGGAACACCATGGACTACGACACCTACTATGACGATTGGTCATGGCAAGATGACCCTTGGCAAGCCTATCCAGAAGTGGACCCCTGGACCGGCTATGCAGAGGATGAATGGTGGCAAGAAGATGATTCCTGGTCGCCTACGGCATCAGAATGGCACACCCCTGAGGAGTATGTCATCCATGACGACCAGCATGAGACAGAGCAAGCTGCTGAAGCCCCTGAGACTTACTATGAGGACGAGGACTACTACCAGCAGAAGAGTGGCTGTCATGTTTGTGGCAGTCGATGGCACCTGGCCGCACAGTGTCCCGTCAGAGACAAAGGAAAAGGCGGCTATGGAGGAGGAAAATCCTCCTGGAGGCCAAAAGGCAAAGGCAAGGGCAAAGGAAAGAAGGGCAAGGGCAAAAGCAAGTCATTCAAGGGCAAAGGCAAGTTCAAAGGTGGCAACAAGGGCTACTTCAACGACATTGACTACAGTGCCCAACGAAGCCAACCTGAACAAGGACTTTCTCTGAGTCCTCCAGCTTCATCATCTTTTACCACTGAGGTGAAGCCCATCCATATGACACCACCGAGGACTGGAGAAGTGCTTCCTTGGCAAGAGAAGAAAGTGACCTTTGCCGAAGGTCAAGAAGATGAAGAAGCTCCAGCTCCATCTGAGCCAGTTCGCAAGCAACTTGCTTTTGCCACCCATCTTCATGCAAGCTCTGAGGTCTACCACATGGTGAAAGGCGTCAAACGCCGTGGCTTGTTGATTGACCCTGGTGCTGCCGCAGGTTTGGTTGGCAGCGAGACCCTTCGTGACCTACTAGCCAGCTGCTACCAGGACAAGCAGAAGGCAGTGACATGGTCTGCATCAGATGCCACTATCACCGGCATCTCAGGTCAGCCAGACAAAGCTCTTGGACGAGTTCATCTGAAGCTGCCTTTCAAGAACATGGAAGCCACCTACACCGCCGATGTCATTGGCAAAGAAGGTAGCCGCTGTCCCGCTCTGGTTGGCAACCCTGCTTTGTGCGCAATGTACGCCTCACTGCACTCACGATGGTTCACCAACGATGATGGACTTCTGGTTGCCTGGGACACCTCCAAGAGCGAGCATCCGCAGATGAACCTCTTCCGAGTTCTTCTCACTGACAGTGGTCACTACCTGCTGCCTTTGGATGAAGATGCTGGCATCTGCGATCAGCAACCTGAAGCCTTTCACTTCATCAAGCACCTCTCTGACGTCTCCCATCGTGCATGGCCAGATCATGCATACACCTTCTGGCAGAACGTGACTGCCCAAGGACCGGAACGTCAGTGGAGCACTCATGGGACACAAGTTCGATCCCTTCAAGATGATCACCCGCTGACTAGTCTCATGAGTGAGCAGAACAAGAACCACGACATTGATACCTCATGTTCCACGTCACCGATCAAGGACCACGACGCATCAACATTACCTATCACATCATCCACCTCAGATATCACTTCCACTGGAGGAGTTGAGGCTGCAGACAATCTCTACCAATGTGATGACGCTCATAAGGAGCATAAGTGCGAATGTTGCCAAAGTCACAACACTCCAAGGTCCACGACACCTGAACAGGTCACATCATGTTCCACAACAGCCACCTCATGTTCCACAACACCTGGAGGAGTTGAGGCTGCAGACAAGGACTACCAAGAGAAGAAAGACAGTGTTGTGACATCTCAGCTGATGGCCACAAATCTGAGTGAACTTCCACTGTACGTTGATGAGTCTGTTCCACCTCACCTCTCACAAGAAGATCAGCAGAAGCTCAAGAAGGACTACAAGGCCATGCCAGAGGAGTTCTACCGCCACTCCAATCGCAGAGTCGTGACGCCAGACACCTTCCCTGCATGGTTCAAGGAGGCCAAGCGACATGGAGTCAAGTGGCAGATTTGGGAGCTCTTCTCCGGCTCTGGACGATTTTCTCTCCTGTGCACTTTGGCTGGTTTGATGGCTGGTTTTCCTGTCGACTTCCGCTATGGCTGGGACATTGGCAATCCAACACATCAAGACATGCTTTGGAGCGTCTACACCACCTTAGCCTGAAGTGATCCTTGGCTCTCCTCGCTGCAAGTTCTGGAGCATAGCCGCATCGAGACGAGATCGACATCAACTTCTACAAGATCGAGAGAAGGACAGATCAGCTTTAGTATTCCTTCAACGCCTGTATGCTGAACAGGTGAAGAAGTCTCGAGGCTACCTCCTGGAACAGCCATTGTCTTCAGCTATGTGGGAAGAGAGTGTGATGGCAGAGAACAAGAAGTTCCCTGGCTGGCGAAAACATCGCCGCACAGATCAATGTGCATTTGGAGCAGTTGATGAGCTTCGGAAGCCAGTGTTGAAAGCCACCGGCATTGAAGCGAACTTCAAGCTACGCCTCAGCCTTCGTCGATGCAATGGACACAATGGAATGCCCCATGCACCTCTACAAGGTCAACATCAAGGCAAGAATCGCACTGCTATGGCAGCTGTCTACCCGACTCGCTTCTGCAAGGCCCTCATCCAGGACATCATTCAATGGCTTCAGAAGCGCAACACTCTGCACATGCGCTTGGTTGACTCATGGACCTATCACCAAGTCCTCTACAAGTGCGAGCGTTGCAAGTTTGGCAGAGCTGCCACAGCTGATATGGAACATTCATTCATTCCGGGAGAATGTCGTCATGGTCGCATGTTCAAGGAACCTTCAGCAGCTCCTTCGGCCGCCTCAAGTCCCACAGCTGACTTTCAACGAGGCATTCGAGCACATGGAGGCATGAGTCAGGTTGAGATACAAGTTCCTGACTCTATGGAGTTCACCGCTGAAGACAAGCTCTACCTGAAAGGCCTGCTGTGTCAATTGGTGAACGACTCCATGACCATCTTTGACGAAGTCACCGACGGCAACTACTCCCGATGGATTGAAGATCCCATCCTGATGACGATTGTGCGCTCATGCCTTCGCAAGATTCTCTATGTCCACGGAGTGTACATCATCTTGCACCCTTTTGCCAAAGCATTTCCGGAACCAAAACTGCGAGCTGAACTTTGTCCACTGCGACTGATCTGTCGAGGCACCTACAAGTCCTGGACAGTTCATCCACTTGAAGATCTTCGTGAAATGTCACCAGCTCAGCAGAGAGAAGCCATTGAGGAGCCTGACTGGATGATTACTTTCTTTGGCGATGTTCGGGAACCCACTTCGACAAGAAGGTCATCTCCAGCCACACCTGCTCCAGTCACTCCAGCTCCTGGCACTCCAATGCCTGGTACACCAGCACCCTTGATGCCTGTACCTGCAACTCCGATGCCACCTGCTGAAGAGACTTCTCAAGCTTTGGTTCCTGTGGATGATGCACCACTACAAGTGGCTCCATATGAAGGAATTTCAGCTGAAGCTGCCAATGCTAGAGCTA